GTGGCAGAAAAATAAAACTGCACATCACCGTGAACACACCATCCCCACCGTGAAAAATGGTGGTGGCAGCATCATGTTGTGGGGGTGCTTTTCTTCAGCAGGGACAGAGAAGCTGGTCAGAGTTGATGGGAAGATGGATGGAGCCAAATACAGGGCATTTCTAGAAGAAAAACTGCAAAAGACTTGAGACTGGAGCGAAGGTTCACCTTCCAGCAGGACAACAACCCTAAACATACAGCCATAGCTACAATGGAATGGTTTAGATCAACACATATTCATGTATTAGAATGGCTCAGTCAACCCTAAATCCAATTGAGAATCTCTGGCATGACTTGAAAATTGCTGTTCACAGATGCTCTCCATCTGATCTGACAGAGATTGAGCTATTTTGCAAAGAAAAATGGGCAAAAATTTCACTCTCTATACGTGCAAAGCTGGTAGAGACATACCCAAAAGACTTGCAGCTGTAATTGCAGCAAAGGTGGTTCTACAAAGTATTGACTCAGGGGAGCTGAATACAAATGCACACCACACTTTTCAGATATTTATTTGTAAAACATTTTGAAAATCATTTATCATTTTCCTTCCACTTCTCAATTATGTGCCACTTTGTGTTGGTCTATAACAAAAAATCCCAATAAAATAAGTTTACAGTGTTGGTTGTAGCATGAGAAAATGTGGAAAATGTCAAGGGGGATGAATACTTTTTCAAGGCACTGTATGTATTTCCTGTATGTATGGTGCGGTATTTTCATCTTTGATTACCATTTAAGCATTTTACTCTTCAGATTGCTTCCTAATTAAACTACAGAACTGAGTAACAACAAATAGACTGGTCTCTCCTAGCAAAATGTTTTTAACAGCTTAATGCCACATCTCTTATATCTTTAACATATGTTAACTGATGTTAAATGACCTTTAACAGTATACAGTACATTATTGATATTCCATTTTGAGGAGCAGTGTTAATGCACATCTTCTGTCACTAACAGGTTTTGTAGTCTTGTTAAAGAGATCATCACGGATGTTGTAGGCAGTGCTGTAGAGTTGGAAGGTGAGGCAGATGGAGATACATTAGAGGTAAGTGCAGCTTTATATAGAGGTGGCTTATGTACATTACTTAGTAACCTCCTTTGATGTACATTGCAATATGCATACTTTATGTATTTTGTGAACGTCTTGCATTCTTGATTAAATATTTTCATAAAAATGGTTTTTAGAACTAAAGTATATATTAGAATACTCTTGCCCCCTCATTGTTCTTTCAGAGTGCACCTGCCACATACTGTGTGCACTTTGTAGTTCTGTAATAAAAAATTATTTGCTAATGTCCGCCAGATGCCATAGTGATCCCTAAGGGTCCTTTCACACAAGTCTCATTAGTTCAGTCATGTTTTTTGCAAAGAAAAACCTGATGAATACTGGTTACATCAGTTTATATTGGCTTGCACATCTGTCTTCATTTCACTTTAGTTTAGTTCAGTTAAGTTTACATCAGTTTTTGCAGCTGTTTTTTTTTCAGTTGTTAAATAAACTAGTAATAGGTGACAAAAAATGTATTTCTTGCTTAAAAGCAGACATATAAATGAAATGGACGTGAACAGGCAACATCCATTTATATCCATGTACATACGTTTATGTCCACAAGCATGAAAAGGATGCAAACCTTTTCCATTTTTTTTCTGTAGACAGAAACAGACTGATGTAAATGGTTGTGAATGGATGTTGTTTGTTTACATCTGCCTGACTGAACATTGTGGTTCAGTCTGGACCCATCAGCAAAACTGACAGGCGGAATGCTTGTGTGAAAGGGCCCTAAGGGATGAAGTATTTCCAAACTTAGTAATGCTAGTTGTGGCATTTTACTACAACTCCTACCTCGGCTCATTGCTAGTGCTAAAGCTGGCATACAGGCTCTGCTTGAGGAGGTTGGGTATGTGCAACCCTAGCTCAGTCCACAAATGGAAGAGAACAAATCATTTGCAATAAACTGAATATTATCCTACATATTATTGAAATTGTGCACACTTACCTAAGCAAGTTTTATTTGCTCTATCTGAGTCAGACAATCATCTTGAGTGTCAAAGACCAGGTGGTACTTGAAGTCAGAGGCGAGGTTCACACTGCAGCTGCGATTTGATCCAATTTTCAGTATGATTATATAGTGAAAGTTGATTGCATTTTGGATTTGGTTTGCATATTCTACCAAAATTGCACTGGAATCACACCAAAGTAGAACAGGACCCTTTTCCAAAATCGCACCATGCTGTGATGCATTCATGTTAGCAGGCACTATTGAAAACAGCGTAATTTCCATTGTCATGTGTTTTTGTGCTATAATCAAAAATAAACACCTGCACTCAGCAAATGTGAACAAAAAATGTGTATGATTAGGTGCATTAGCTATCTTAGACCAAGCTGAAGGCCTGTGATTACTAACAAAACATATGAAAAAAATAAGTAAATCATATATAAATTATTTAAATTATATATAAAAACATGCATAATCCAAAACAATAGCAAAATAATAGATTTTCATCCATTTTTACATTACGTTTCCTACCAGTGGATCTCTGTGATTGTTAAAGCTTTGTCTGATTGTCTTTATTTCTTTAAAAATGTTTGTGAAATGCTGTGTAATATTTCAGTACGAATATGACTATGATGAAAATGGAGATAGAGTGATCCTTGGCCGAGGTACTTATGGAGTAGTATATATGCAGGCAGAGATCTCAGCAATCAAGTTCGTATAGCAATTAAAGAGATTCCAGAGAGAGACAGTAGGTGAGTCCTGAATGAATCTACTGACTGATGTTTCATGCTTGTAGTAAAGCAAGTTATTTTTCATACCAGAGTGTGTATTTTAGAACATCCTAATTGGGATTAAATTACTCTGCTGTGCCAACTTCTTCTGCTGAAGGTCTAAAACATTCTTTAGTTCCCTGATGGTTTCTGTATGTGGATTTTAAATCATAAACACTCTTTGAAAGTGAATTTAAAAATATTTATTTAAAGAGGAACCCCTCCCAAAAATGTAAAGTCAGCAGTTACAAATACTGTACATGCTGACTTTTAATATTAGGGATATTACCTGTCCAGAGATCCAGCGGTGTCCTCACCCTGAGCCAATTCATTCATTGGCTGTCGGTTGCTGGCGCCACCATCTTGACTAAGGGAAACCAGCAGTGCAGCTTCTTGTTGCACATGCGCAAATTGCATTGCGCTTTGTGAATGGGCTGCATTCCTCTGGGACCTGTGAAATGTCCCAGAGGGCTGCGGGGGGGAGAAGGGGGCTGAACGTCCGGCTCAGTTCGCTACTTTAAGTACTAGTCATTTTAATGTTTCTTGTACAGGTGAAACTCGAAAAATTAGAATATCATGCAAAAGTTCATTTATTTCAGTAATGCAACTTAAAAGATGAAACTAATATATGAGAGAGACTTCATTACATGCAAAGCAAGATAGTTCAAGCCATGATTTGTCATAATTGTGATGATTATGGCTTACAGCTCATGAAAACCCCAAATCCACAATCTCAGAAAATTAGAATATTGTGAAAAAGTGCAATATTCTAGGCTCAAAGTGTCCCACTCTAATCAGCTAATTAAGCCATAACACCTGCAAAGGGTTCCTGAGCCTTTATATGGTCTCTCAGTCTGGTTCAGTAGGAATCACAATCATGGAAAGACTGCTGACCTGACAGTTGTGCAGAAAACCATCATTGACACCCTCCATAAGGAGGAAAAGCCTCAAAAGGTAATTGCAAAAGAAGTTGGACATTCCCAAAGTGCAGTATCAAAGCACCTTAATAAAAAGTTATGTGGCAGGGAAAAGTGTGGAAGAAAAAGGTGCACAAGCAGCAGGGATGACTGCAGCCTGGAGAAGATTGTCAGGAAAAGGCCATTCAAAAGTGTTGGGGACTTTCACAAGGAGTGGACTGAGGCTGGAGTCACACACAGACGGATCATGGACATGGGCTTCAAATGTCATATTCCTCTTGTCAAGCTGCTCCTGAACAGCAAACAATGTCAAAAGCGTCTTACCTGGGCTAAAGAAAAACAGATCTGGTCTGTTGCTCAGTGGTCCAAAGTCCTCTTTTCTGATGAGAGCAACTTTTGCATCTCATTTGGAAACCAAGAACCCAGAGTATGGAGGAAGAATGGAGAGGCACATACTGCAAGATGCTTTAAGTCCAGTGTGAAGTTTCCACAGTCTGTGTTGATTTGGGGAGCCATGTCATCTGCTGGTGTTGGTCCACTGTGCTTCATTAAGTCCAGGGTCAACGCAGCCGTCTACCAGGAGATTTTGGAGCACTTCATGCTTCCTTCCACAGATGAGCTTTATGGGAATGCTGACTTCATTTTCCAGCAGGACTTGGCACCTGCCCACACTGCCAAAAGCACCAAAACCTGGTTCAATGACCGTGGGATTACTGTGCTTTATTGGCCAGCAAACTTGCCTGACCTGAACCCCATAGAGAATCTATGGGGCATTGCCAAGAGAAATATGAGAGACATTAGACTGAACAATGCAGAAGAGCTGAAGGCCGCTATTGAAGCATCCTGGTCTTCCATAACACCTCAGCAGTGCCACAGGCTGATAGCTTCCATGCCATGCCGCATTGAGGCAGTAATTGCTGCAAAAGGGGCCCAAACCAAGTACTGAGTACATATGCATGCTTTTCAGAGGTTTGATATTGTTCTATGTACAATCCTTGTTTTATTGATTGCATGTAATATTCTAATTTTCTGAGATTGTGGATTTGGGGTTTTCATGAGCTGTAAGCCATAATCATCACAATTATGACAAATCATGGCTTGAACTATCTTGCTTTGCATGTAATGAGTCTATATCATACATTAGTTTCACCTTTTAAGTTGCATTACTGAAATAAATGAACTTTTGCACGATATTCTAATTTTTCGAGTTTCACCTGTATTTTCTTGTATCTTTATCTGTTGTTTTCTAAAAATACTATTTTGCTGTTTTATAGATATTCCCAACCACTTCATGAAGAGATTGCACTTCACAAATACCTGAAACATCGCAATATTGTTCAGTATCTTGGCTCTGTTTCTGAAGATGGGTACATTAAAATATTTATGGAACAGGTTCCAGGAGGTTTGTATTATACAGTCTTTGAAAATTTGTACGGTAACACTCAGTTTTAGTTTTTATGGATCGCATTTGCTTTCAGTGCATCAGTTACAGTATTGACCCAGTTCAAAGCAATAAAAAGAAAGAGTATTTAACAGAAACAGGGATGAAACAATGAATGAGTATATGAGTTTGATTTACCAAATGCAAATAGGCTTTTCACTTTGTAGGGGAAGTCACACTTTGCAAAGGAATCTGCCACAGATCTTAGTGAATGTGGTGAAATTCCACTTTGTAAAGATTATTACCCAACCCTGAGCAAAGAAATAAAAACAGCATTTTTGCTTGCACATGATTGGATGATTGAAGTCAGCAGAGCTTCACCTTATTCACTAAACTTTGAGGAAAATTCCCTTGCAAAGTGCAGTGTCCCATCCGAAAAACATGTTATATTTTGAACAGAGTGAAGAAGGTTTAGAACAGTAGTGGTCAGCTTTGTTGATATGGGGGAGTGTGCCTCAGTTGTGGCCCCTGACGTCACCAAAGGGCCGCATATACAATTCAGTAAATATTCATTATTAGAGACTGCAAACAGCAGGATATAGTCAAGACTTGGGGCATGATACAAGAGATGATCGGAGACTACAGACATGATACAAGAGATGGACAGACTGTGGACATGCTGCAAGAGACTGCCAGAGACTGTGATTGTGCTACAGGAGTTGCTGGAGACAAGGGACGTGCTTCAGGAGACAGTCATAGACTTCACTCGAGACTGCTAGAAATAACTGCTATAACAGGGAAATGGAAAAAAACAGATTATCATCTGCAGGGGTCTTGAGGGCCACACAAAAAGTGCCAAAGGACCACATGCGACCCCCAGGCTACAGGATGGACATCAAGCGTTTAGAACCTCTCTCAGGTGTGACTGCTGTCCCCAGTGGGAATATTTTCCCCTATTTATTGTCTTGGTGACAGTTTTGTCCTCAGAACAGAAAATGAACGAAATTCTAAATTGGGGACAGAAACAACAGTATAAAGCTGAGCAAGGTGTCCCACACTCTCCTAAGTGTTCTTATTGCTATCTGTTTCTCATTGGAAATATCACTTCCCTCCCTGCCTTGGGTCTGTCTCTCCTCATTAACCGAGACACAGCAGCAGAAGCCATTGCCTCCCACTGCTGTCAATCACATCCAGTGAGCCAATGAGGAGAGAGCAGGTGATGGGGCCGAGCCGCCCTAGCCGGGGTCTAAGTGCTTTATGGACGCGTAGAGCGGGGCTTGAGAGGGAGCATGCACCAGTGGCGCCCACAGAAAGTGGCTTGCTATTGGGGGCACTGGTCAAGGGGAATTTACCAGGAGAGCCAGCAAGGGATCCAAGAAGAAGAGGATCAGGTTGCCCTGTTCAAAACCATTCCACAGAGCAGGTAAGTATGACATGTTTGTTATATCTTTTTAAAAAAAAAAACAAAAAGAAAACTTTAATATCACTTTAATGTCAGGATCCACAAAGATCCCTGAACAGCAGCTGGCTCAGCTTTTCAGTGAGCTGCTGAGAGCCTGAGCCAGCCACTCCCACCCCTGCACAGCCCGGTGCTCCAATGAGCACTATAGGGGCAGAGATCTGGTGACTGACAGTCCCCGGCTCTTCTCAGTGAAGTTCTCAGTATTTCGGATTGATGCTGCATCCACCTAGGTGAGTATATGTGTTTGTTTTTTCATATCCTGCACTTCTCTTTTGATGGAATTCTGGCAAATTCTTTGCATGTAATGAGTCTATCTCATATATTAGTTTCACCTTTTAAGTTGCATTACTGAAATAAATGACCACTGAGCAACAGACCAGGTCTGTTTTTCTTTAGCCCAGGTAAGACGCTTCTGACGTTGTTTGTTGTTCAGGAGCAGCTTGACAAGAGGAATAAGACATTGACTCGCATTTGAATCCCATGTCCAGGATCCGTCTGTGTGTGGTGGCTCTTGATGCACTGACTCCAGCTTCAGTCCACTCCTTGTGAAAGTCCCCAACACTTTTGAATGGCCTTTTCCTGACAATCTGCTCCGGGCTGCGGTCATCCCTGCTGCTTGTGCACCTTTTTCTTCCACACTTTTCCCTTCCACATAACTTTCTATTAATGTGCTTTGATACAGCACTTTGGGAATGTCCAACTTCTTTTGCAATTACCTTTTGAGGCTTTCCCTCCTTATGGAGGGTGTCAGTGATGGTTTTCTGCACAACTGTCAGGTCAGCAGTCTTTCCCATGATTGTGATTCCTACTGAACCAGACTGAGAGACCATTTAAAGGCTCAGGAGCCCTTTGCAAGTGTTATGGCTTAATTAGCTGATTAGAGTGGGACACTTTGAGCCTAGAATATTGCACCTTTTCACAATATTCTCATTTTCTGAGATTGTGGATTTGGGGTTTTCATGAGCTGTAAGCCATAATCATCACAATTATGACAAATCACAGCTTGAACTATCTTGCTTTGCATGTAATGAGTCTATCTCATATATTAGTTTCACCATTTAAGTTGCATTACTGAAATAAATGAACTTTTGCACGATATTCTAATTTTTTCGAGTTTAACCTGTATGGAGTTATCAAATATATGAAGAATATTCCAGTATATAAAAGATTTTAAATAAATTAAAAAATACTATAATAATAAATATATTGCTGTAATACAGGTTATTTTATTGCAGTTTTAAAAGTTTTCAAAAAAAAAGTCAATAGTTTTTTTTTCTTATTTGTGATAAACAGTGTTCAAAAGTCAATGCTGTCTTCATTTCATCAGGGCTTTTTTTCTCAGAAAATAGGTGCAGGAACTCAACCAGGACTCCCCAAAATGCCCTCCCCACCACACACACCCTCCAAACCGCATCAAATAGTGGGTATGGTCAAATTTCACTAACAATGGGAAGGTCTTAAAGGGACATTAAATACCAGTAGTGCATTACATACAGAGTGCAGAGTTCGGTAGGGTTACACACAGAGTGCAGAGTTCAGAGGTACAGTACATGCAGAGTTTGAGCGTCCACTATATACATAGTACAGAGTTCAGGGGTGCGCTGCATACAGAGTGAAGAGTTCAGGGGTGTGCTACAAACCGAGTGCAGAGTTCAGCCATCTTCCACAACTGCTTACCTCTGTATCCCCCATCCACTTCTCACTTTCCTCCCTCTTCTTCTCTATTACCTCCTCGCACACTGTAGGTGGCTCCGCCTTTCTCACTTGCAGAGAGATCATGCAGTGGGGGTGTGAGCATCTGCACTGCACCCCAGGCACCTGCATCTCCCTTGGCCCCATCCTGCACTCAGTGGTAACCGCTCAGGAGATCAGATCTGTGGGAGCTTATTATCTTTTGGTGGTTTATGAAACCTTTGATAGTAAAAAAGCTTAAAAACACAATTAAATTAGACGCCTGCATTCAGATGACAACACAGAAACAGAAACAGCAGGGTGAAACAGCATCAGCTGTGGCTGATATACACAGCTTATTGGTTCTTCTTCTTCTCTGAATCTGCAGATTAGTAATAATTTAATCAATATTGTGGTGTGAATTTGGTAGGGGCTTGATGGTGCAAACAGCTCTGATGCAGAGGCAGATGTAAATGTTTCATGTTCAATGTGTCAGCTATACAAACAAATGTTGATAATGTACAGTATGTGAATGTGTTAAGACATAAAATGTAAGCTGTCTGTGTGTTCATTGACTTATTCTGATGAGTGTTTAGATTTCATTGTGTCTATCCATATCTTATGTAGCAGGTTGCATTTACTTGCTTGAAAGCCCACAGACAGCTATGGGATAGTAAACTGGATTCTTGTCTAGATGGTATTTGATATACCAAATTCCAAAATACTATTGACAGTGTAAACCTTATATAACTTATTTTACACATGCATTTGATCAGTTTGTTTTTCTGTAAATTTTCATAATTTATTTATGCATCTGTATGGAAACAAGCATGACATGATGTATCGTTATCTTTGTTATTATTATTACAATTTGGTTAAAGTGGTTTTAAATGCAGAAATTTTTTTTATCCTAATGTATTCTATGCATTAAGGTAAAAAAAACCTTCTGGGGGCAACTGCCCCTTCAGCCACCCCTTATACTTACCTGAGCCCCATCTCGATCCATCATGTGCATGAGAGCCTCAGCTCTCCCGGGTCTCTCTCTCCTCATTGGCTCACAGAGCAGTGGGAGCCACTGGGTCCTGCTGTTGTCAATCAAAGCCATTGAGCCAATGAGAAGAGTGTAGGGGCTGGGCCGAGCTATGCTCTGTGTGTGAAGGGACAATGTCCTTTCACAGGAGCGCAGCTCAGGTACAAGCCTGCTCGAGTGCCCCCAGAGCAAGCGGCTTGCTATTGGGGGGCACTCAGCAGGTGGGAGGTGCTAATATGGGAACTAAAAAGAAAAGGATCAGGGCTGCCCTGTGCAAAACCGTTGCACAGAGCAGGTAATTATGACATGTTTGTTTTTCTAATTGCAGCCTTTAGAAACGCTTTACATAAACTGCCATTTTAATTTTTTAATTTAAATGAAAAAACGTCATTGCTGTATAATTGACATACTGTCCTCACAAATGACTGTCTTTTTTGCACAGGTAGTCTTTCAGTTCTCCTGAGATCTAAATGGGGTCCTATGAAGGAACCAACCATTAAGTTTTACACTAAGCAGATCTTGGAAGGTTTAAAATATCTACACGAAAATCAGATTGTACACCGAGATATAAAGGTAAATTCTTGAATTAATTCCTATAAAATGTGCATGTTTTTATATACCACTTTTTGGGTCACTAGTAGATTTTATTCGGTGTTAAAGCGGAGTTCCACTCACACTGTCAAAAAATAAAAGTCGAAAACTGTAGTTGCTGACTTTTGAAAACACACACACTCACCTGTCCCTCGGTCCCACGGTGTGTCCCCTGCAGCCCGTTTTACCGGCTGTCTTCTCTCCTTGGGCACCGGAATCTTCAGTGTGGGCACCTTGCTGTGACAGTTTGTGGCTTCACAGCCGGATACCCACTGCGCATGCGCAAGTAGCGCTGCACTTACTGCACGTCCTGTAGTCTTCTGGGACCTGTCAAGTGTCCCAAAAGACTACGGGGAGGGAGGAAACCTTCCACTTCTGCCTCGGCGATCGGAGCGGAAATGGGAGCGGGTACCTGTCAAATTTGGGTACCTGCTCCGCCCCCCAAAGGTGCCAATCCTTAATTGGGAGCGGGGGACCAGTCTTTAAAGCAGAACTTCCCCTTTTGGGTGGAGCTCCACTTTAAGCAATTTTCAAGATTTTTACTAAAAATAGAGTAATGGAGTATGTCAGTTTGCTTTTCTAATGTATTTTTTTTTACAGTCCTTACAAACTAACAGATTGGACTGTTTATTTGGTAACTGAACTCTTTAATAGTGAACGCCAGGACTTCCTCACTATATATTTGCAGAGATAGGCTTAGTTCCATTTTTGCAATTTATGTCAGGATAATGTGATGCACACAGCTGGCCTAATTCACAAAGCTTTACCACCAGCCTAAATCACTCTAAAGTACGGTACATTTATCTAAACTAGAGTATCCAAAATCTGTAGCAGTTGTGAATCTAAACCAGTCAGATTTTGTCTTTCATTTTCAAAGTTTAAAGTGTTATTAAACCCAGGACCCTGCATTCACTATATCTGGTCTCCCACACTACACACAACATGGAAATGCAATTATAAATATAAACTTCTAAATACATTTTCTCATCAGCAGTTAGACCAGTCTTGTAGCTTCTATCAGTGTCCAGCTGAGCACTGGTTAAATCTTTTAGGAGTTTTCATTTTGCTCTAGGAGGATGCAGAACCCCTGACCTCTGTCTGAACAGTGGTGATTTGCCCTGTACTGATCACACGCACTCTCTCAAGAAAAAAAAAAAAACCCTCTCTAGCAATACACACCAAATTGAGCATGTGCAGAGTGCCTCTCACGATATGTCTTATCAGGAGATAAGAGGGGGACACTGGAAGAAGGTGAGGATCAGAGAAGTCAGGATCAAACATTTTTTACACAATGCAGAAGAGTAACCCCTTAGGTTCCACAGTGAGTATAACAGGCATGCTTTACTGCATATACAGACTGATTTTACTGTTGTGGGTATAGTAACGCTTTAACTGAACTAGCCAAAGATAGAAGCTGATTGGTTGCCATGCACAGATGCTCCAAATTCTGTCTGCTCCAGTTTTGATAAATTCCCCCTCTGTGTTTAGCCATGTGACTGTAATTTTCACATTTCATTGGAATAACCTGAATATAACTGTCACTTTTTTAAAATAAGGATACTTATCCTGGGTTTGTAAATTGAGCCTCCGGGCTGGTATGCTGCTGCACAGAGACCACCCGCACCCCCCTTGTGCACAAAGTACACACAAAGGTAAAACTTCTAACCAGATGGCACCATAACATGCATATAACAAGGATGAGTGCTGCTGTACACGCTGTATGTATGTGTCTGCACTGTGTGTTCTAAATTGTGTATATATGTGGCAGTATACAAACTACTTTCCATGGATGTATGAACAAAATATTCTTTATAAAATGTAATGTCTTGATCTGTGACCTCAAGAAAAAAATGATCTGTTAGTTGTAATGTGTGTACATAGGTGCTTTTCATTTGACCGTTTGCTCTACGCAAAGCTGTGAATGTGCTTCATAGTGTACATTGGCACTTTGACAGTGGACAGAAGTCAGTAGGGTTGAACTTGTTCTGCAGGTGAATTCAGACATCAATCAAATGTTTTTGTATTTGCCATCTCCTGTGCATTTTGAAATCCAGTCAGAAGTTATTTGTGGTGATATAGCTATGTCTGAATAGTTGCTTCAATCCCCTGTAACTCTGTTTAGGTCTTCTACTGAGCCTCTACCTACTGCGATGCGTTCTGCGATGCAGAACACTTTAGCATTGGGCCCAGTGGTCTTACTTTAGGACAGTGTTTCTCAACTCCAGTCCTCATGGACCCCCAACAGGCCATGTTTTCAGGATTTCCATTATTTTGCACAGGTGATTTGATCAGTTTCACTGCCTTAGTAATTACCACAGCTGTTTCATCTGAGGGAAATCCTGAAAACATGACCTGTTGGGGGTCCATGAGGACTGGAGTTGAGAAACACTGCTTTAGGATGACACAAAACCCAGAAGTTTGCTGTAATGATATAACTAACAAGAGGTGTGAAAATATAGAAGATGACAACATATTTGGTTACAAACAGCTAAGAAATACAGTGAAGAAGTTAGCCTTTTATTTATGTAGATGTTAAAAATGAAACTGACATACAGTACATACGCTGTTAATATAGCTTGTCAATTTTACATGACTTAAAGAAAATCTAAGCAGTTCAATACTGTGATTTTATTATTTATTTATTTCAGGTACTTATATAGCGCCATCAATTTACGCAGCACTTTACATCTATATATTGTACATTCACATCAGTCCCTAATCCTCAAGGGGTGTACAATCTAAGGTCCCTAACTAACATTCATATACTAGGGCCAATTTAGACAGGAGCCAATTAACCTACCAGCATGTCTTTGGAGTGTGGGAGGAAACTGGAGTACCCAGAGGAAACCCACGCAGGCACAGGGAGAACATGCAAACTCCAGGCAGTTGGTGTCATGGTTGGGATTTGAACCGTGACCCTAGTACTGCCAGGCAGAAGTGCTAACCACTTAGCCACTGTGCCGCCCACCTAATATTTATTATATGGTAAACCTAGTTGAGGTGCTGTATTTGCTCAACAATAATAATAATAATTCAAACATTATTAATAAGTCTAACCGCTTACAACAATTATAGCATAAAGGAATGTTTTTTTGTATCTTCTATATTGTTTTTATTATCAAATTACCATTTGAATTGAAATGGATGCAAAATTCCAAACATTGATTGAATACACTAAATATTAGTGACATGCTTTGTCTAGAAACCTGTGCTTTAGGGGTCTTTTTTTTACCTTAATTTGAATAATATGCCACATGTTTTACTTAAAGTGGTATTAAACCCAAAACCAAAAATGTATTGTATTGCAGCTTACCAGTCATCATATATGGTGGCTGCATCAGTTTTCCTTTCTTTGCTGTTTTTTTTTCCTGTTTCCACCTGGTGATCTGGCCAGTAACACACCAGTATTAGTGAGATACAACTCTGGGGGAATGAGAAGAGGATGCACAGCAGACAGCAGCATTGTCAGTAAAGAGGAAAGTGGAGTGTTAAATGTATCAGCAGATTTAGAACCACTAACAAATTGAAGTCAAACTTCAGCTCATACTTTTTATTCAGTTACAGCAAGCATTTTTTTTTCTTTTTGGGCTATATGTTTTGCATAAATAAATAAAAGCTGACTGTTTTAATCAACCCTGCCAGTTGATCATCCATGCAAACTAATACATTCTGCTTTAGTTTGTGCTGTGAAAAAACAGACTTGCTGGCTGGATCACCAGGTGAAAATAAAAGGTAAAAAGGCAATTCGAAGAAATGATGTAAACAACATGCAAAATTAATTTAACAAATGTAAAATATTTTTTGTCTGTGTGGTATATTTATATATGGAGGTCAAAGAATGCAAAGTGGGTCTCTACAAAGAAACAAAACTCCAGAAGAAAGTAGTGATGAGCTGACTGTACCTGGGTTCAGTTTGGGGTATCCCCATTGATGTCATTGACTAAATATGGTCAAGTCTATACTTGGTCAATTATGTCACCTGGGACACCCTGCCTTTTTGTTAATGGTCTGCTGCAGGGGTCAGAAGCTGTCATTCGCATGAGCGGCAGGATCAGACATATCTGTGGGTTTTTATTCTCTGGTTAGCGGGTGTAGTTTATCTTGACTGACAAAGATCTACATCACTGGATGACATGATTGGTGATAGATTGACACTATCTTTTTTTAATATATAAAGAAATGGTCAAAATGTGTTAGTGTGTTTACGGTTTACTTTTGTAGGAATGAGAAGGGGTACTATGTACTTTTTATTCACATGGGTGTAGGGCCAGTGTCTGGGGGTCCCTTTGTTTTTAGGGGGCTTCCTGATTTTGATAAACCACAGACCCCCACCACCACTAGACCAAGGTTGTGGGGAAGTTGGCAGCCACCAACATGGTAACAACCAGCTGAAGCAGGAAATTGTTGCATTTAGCACCAATAGTAATACCCTGCTATCTCTAGTCTTAACAAGACACTAAGGGGTTTATTTACTAAAGCTGGAGAGTCCAAAATCAGACTCCCTTCTGCATAGAAACCAATCAGCTTCCAGGTTTCATTGCCAAAGCTTCATTGAACAAGCTGAGGTTAGAAGCTGATTGGTTTCTATGCAGAAGGGAGTCTGATTTTGGACTCTCCAGCTTTAGTAAATAAACCCCTAACAGTCCATATAGAGGATAATACCTGTATATATTGTATGTGTAATATTCATGTTCACTCACCAGCCACTTTATTAGGTACACCTTGCTAGTACCGGGTTGGACCCCCTTTTGCCTTCAGAACTACCTTAATTCTTCATGACATAGATTCAACAAGGTGTTGGAAACATTCCTCTGAGATGTTGGTCCATATTGACATGATGGCATTAGGCAGTTGCTGCAGATTTGTTGGCTGCACATCCATGAACTGTTGATACAAGGCAGGATGGATCCATGCTTTCAAGTTGTTTACACCAAATTCTGACCCTACCATCTGAATGTCGCAGCTGAAATCAAGACTCCCCAGACCAGGCAACATTTTCCCAGTCTTATATTGTCCAGTTTTGGTAAGCCTGTGCAAATTGTAGCCCCCATCTCTTGTTCTTAGTTGACAGGAGTGGCACCCGATGTGATTTTCTGTTGCTGTAGCCCATCTGCTTCAAGGCTCAACATGTTGTGCATTCAGAGTATGTATTCTGCATACCTTGGTTGTAACGAGTGGTTATTTGAGTTACTGTTGCCCTTATATCATCTTGAACTAGTCTGCCCATTCTCTTCTGACCTCTGACATCAACAAGGCTTTTTCGTTCACACAACTGCTGCTCACTGGATATTTTCTCATGTTCAGACCATTCTCTGTAAAGCCTAGAGATGATTGTGCGTGAAAATCCCAGTAGATCAGCAGTTTTTTAAATACTCACATCAGCCCATCTGGCACCAACAACCATTCCACATTTAGAGTCACTTAAATCCCCTTTCTTCCCCATTCTGATGCTGAGTTTGAACTTCAGCGAGTCATCTTCACCACGTCTAGATGCCTAAATGCATATAGTTGCTGCCATGTGATTGGCTGATGAGCAATTTGAACAGATGTACGTAATGAAGCGACTGGTGAGTGTATGTACCATTTTCAAGGGCCCAGCAAAATAGAAGATAAAGGCCCTCTTTTAGAGCCACTTTTCTCCCAGCAGGCACCACCATGCAACCTATGGTTGCTTCCATGGCCCTCTGCCAGACCCTTGCTGTCTCTACTAAATGCAAATCCTGTAGCCTTAACTCCATCTCAACAGATCTTTTAATTCAACACCAGCTAGAACGTTTACCTGTAACCTTATGCAATTGCGTGAATGACTTGGCAGATATCCTTTGCCGGATTTCCAGAATGAGCCTTCTCTCCATTCATATGCAGAGGAATTTTTGTCTTGAAGGCTGATCAATGGAACTCCCATGAAGGCAATGTCTAAAGCATTCACCCTTTGAGAGAGAACACCTGTTTGGTTCCTCCTTGGATGAGTACTTCAAGGAGATCACGGGGGAAAGAGTACTCTCCTACCCCAGAAAAAGAAGGCTCTCACTTCTCCTGCTGCTAGGTCTTTTACTCCTGACGCTAAGAAAAGTTGCTTTAGTCTCTCCAAGGTCTCCATCTCTAAGCCTAAGTCTGGAATAACCTTTTGTCAGGACACATGGTCCTCCAAGCCAGCCACCTCTGTCTTCAAGACCAGTAATTGGGAATCCCTACTTGTTAAAATGGGGGGGATGTCTGTCAGCCTTTTTGGCTAGAATGTAATTTCCACGGGATACAAAATGAAGTTTCAGACTCTGCTCCCTCCCCTTGCTTCATGTTCTAAAATTTTTCCCCACCGCAAAAAAGGCAGGCATTTCTTCTTATTATTGTTCAGTAGCTCCAGGATCATCACCCTGAACCTGAATAAGGAACACTTCACCTGTTCACTTTTTCCAAGCCTTTCAGAGGAGTTTTGGATCTGAAGGTGCTCAATCTGTTCCGGAGATTTCATGAATTATGCATTGTATTGGCCAAGTCTGTAATTGCCCCCCTTCTTCTAGGGTCTTTTCTGGCTTCTGTAGACACTTACAGTACTGTACTTGCACATTACTATTTTTCCTCCTCATCACCGCTATTTGAAATCAGCAGTTCAGCATTTCTAATTTGTTGCCATTCCCTTTGGCCTATCCACAGTCCCAAGTTTTCACCAAAATGCAATGTGGTAGACCCCTAACCCAGTATTGGAGTCAAGGAAACCCATTGCCCCAAAGGTGTGGTAAGTTCTCACAATGAGTGCCAGTCTCTCAGGCTGTCCTGAATGCCTCCTCAGTAAAGGGAAATTAGAGGAATCCAGTTGGACATTGCCATGGCTGTAGCCTACATCAACCATCAGGGAGGCACAAGAAGTTGCGCCGTTCAAAGGGAAGCGGACTTGATTTTCTCTTTGGCAGAACTGCCCTGCCCACATGCTAGGTGTTGAAACAGGCAGAAGGACTTTCTTAGCCTCCACCGAGTTAAACCAGAGGCATGGGCACTTCATCTGGTGGTGTTGCATGCCCTTGGTTGCAAGTGAGGACACCTGGCATCCAGATTCAAAAACAACAAGCTGAATAGATTTTTCCCCAGGTCCAGGGACCCTAGGGCCTTCACAGTGAATGTTCTGCTGACTCCTTGAGATCAGTTCCAGCTTCCTGAATCTCCAGCCTCTCCCAAGTCTGCTCCACCATATTGAGATGGAATGCATTCCAGTGAATCTCATTGCACTGAACTGGCCCAGGAGGATGTGGTATTCAAGCATATTTATACTCCTGACAGATTTTTTGTGGGCCATTCTGGATCATCTGGAACATATGTCCTAAGGCTCGGTCCACAATACTGCTTCTCGGTTACTGGCTTTGAAGGCTTCGTTGTTGAAGCCCAGGTCCAGAGCGACAAGATCTGTTGGACCTCTACCCTCTTGATGGTTAGACAGTAGACTTTTCACAGTGTCTACCATTTATCAGCTGCTAAATATATCTGTGTGTTTTAAAAATAATGTTTCAGCTTTAAATATTAAAACTGGCTGTATTCAGAGCTCATTATTGTTCTTCCCATGTATCCTTTCCCATCCTGATTAATTGTGTTGTAACAATAATTTTCATCCTAGGGTGATAATGTGCTTGTGAACACATACAGTGGAGTGGTGAAAATATCAGATTTTGGTACATCTAAGAGACTTGCTGGAGTAAACCCATGTACTGAGACTTTTACTGGTAAGCGTCAGCAAATTACACTGTAGTTTGAGTAATTTGTGCTCTAGTACCTCCTTTTCCTTCTCTCTTTCCAACAGACTCTTTGATGTCCTTGCATGTCCTTATTGTCCAAATTTCTGTTTGTGTTCTGTATGTCCTTTTTTGTTTTTGCATGTGTTAAATATACAACTTGCATCATTGCTTGCTTGCTTTTTCTCTGTGTTGTATGTATGACCTTGTAATTTTTGCACAAATTATATTGCTATTCACATTGCCTCCTAGTTTCCAAAAGAGTGACTGGTTTGTTTGCAGGGTTCAGTGAAAGCTCCAGCTGAGTGCCTTGCTGGCAGTCTTTCTCCCCAGTATCATCTGTCAACCTGATAGCATTTGATGATGTCAACATGAGTTTCTAGAAGTAACAATTGATATTGCTTCCCATGGTGTTGTCTTCTAAGTGACAGCAGACATACATAATAAAATTTGGATTGTAAAATTGAAACATTTTACCAGTGAAGTCCACTCCACACTGCAGTAACAAAGCCCTAAATATGGTGAAACATATTAGAAGGGGCAATGGATAGAGCTGGAATTAAAGCAGTATTAAACCCAAAACCAAAAATGGAATATGTCACAGCTTACCAGTCATTAGATGTGGTGGCTGCATCAATTTCTTTTCTTGGGCATTTTCCCTATTTTTTCACATGACAATCTAGCCAATAGCACACCTCCTTTATTACAGTCCCCCCCACTCTGGATGAATGAGTACAGGGGGCACCTTAGGACAGCATCATACCAGTCTGGGGGAGGAGAGTGTTAGATGTACCAGCAGATTTTAATACACTAACAAATTGAAGTCAGCCTCCTGCTAAATTTATAAGCAGCTACAGCAAACAGTTTTTTCCTTTTGGGATATAGGTTTTAGATAAATAAAGAAAAGCTGAGTATTGTAAGCACCCCTGCTTGTCTCATTCATGTAACTCAATATATGTTGCTGGAGAGCGTGTTCTTTTGAAAAACAACAGACTTACTGGCTGGATCACTAGATAAAAATAGAAGAAAGAGACCCTGAAAAAGAAAACTAATGCAGCCACCACATCTAAGAAATGGTAAGCTGCAATATACAGTAATAAATGTTTGCCTTTGGGTTTAATACCCAAATACCCAATACTGTTCTCTCGCAGTAAGAGAGAGCGAACAGTGTGGTTTTTATCCTTTTACAAAAAGGGCACAAGTGCAGGCACCATAATAATATACAGTATCTTTCTCTGACCCTCTAGGGAACCATCCACCCTCACTATGTATTTACTGACTTATTAAAAGTTAAAACAGGTCTTCTCATTAAGTTCCAGAGGCCCAAGAACTGCATTGTGGAATATGAAGGGTGTTGTGTCTTTACTTCAACTTTCATAAAATTATTATTTGAATAGAAAGTTCCAGTATCAGGGAGCTTTGAAAGGCTGGAGAGAAAAACATAACTTGGAAATGCTCTTTAGATTTATGATTGATGCATTTGTATGCCAATGTTGTTTTTCACTTTAATTCTATAGATAGGTTTGCTTTAAGATAAGTCAGTCACCAATTACACATTTGTTAGTAATTTTTTTTTTTTAACATTCTTTATTTATAAGTTTGCGATAAGTACAGAAGCAGAGAAATGCCACCTAAACAGGAGTCGACCTAAGTACATTCAAATTACATAATAAAGCAATTGTAATGACAAAACTATATTGTATCAAACATTAAGTCGAGAAGCTTAGCTATATGGTATACCTTCATAACTATACAAATGAGTTCGGCATCCTATCTGCATGTACATAAAAAGAGAAAAAAGATAGAAGAGAACAAAGAAAGAGAGTAAAGAACAGAAACAGAGAGATGAGGGTGGAGTGTTGCAGGGACTCATAATCATTAGAACATGTAAAGAGGGACCAGTGGATCCACCGATGAAGGAACGTGTCTTCTTGGCTACAAACTGCAGCCATGATACTTTCCATTGAGTGGATTTAGTCAATCCTATTCAACCACATGGAGAGAGATGGGGGAGTCTCCTGTTTCCAGAGAGAAGGTATGCAGGCTCAAGCAGCATTAATCAAGTGTATTAGTAGGGAGTTCTTGTATCGTTTCCTCAAGAGGTCTGAGTGGAGCAGTAGATACCTAGCCGGGTCTTCCTCTAGGTCAAAATCTGTCAAGCGTTTAATAATCTCTAACTTGTGACCAAAAATTGGCTAGTTTTCTACAGGACCTAAAAATATGAAGGACCGAACCATCCCCTTCCTTACAACGCCAGCATACCTTTATTGCCTCCGGACAGATCTGATGTAAAGTGACCGGAACCTGACACCATCGTGTGAGCAGCTTATATCCCAATTCTTGATATTTGTTTAACAGTGAGGAGCGGTGGGCAAAATATAAAATATGGTCCTTCTGTTCAGTCAAAATTCCCTACCAAACTCTTCTTCCCACTTAAGTAGATACGGTGGTAAAAAAGATTCAGCAGGTTGACTAAGCAATTTGTAGGCCATTAAATCTCGAAGATGGAAACTCTCGAGAAAAGAGGGACAGAAATCTCCCATCCAAGATCCCCAGTGAAAAACTAGGATTGCCTAATACTGAATATAATCGTTAAAAATCGTAGACTGCACAAGCCGACCACCGTTGCATCTTTCAGGACTCCTATAGTAGCTCCTACCAGAGGGGGGGTTTTGATGGCTGGAAGTCTGTTGAGATCCAGACATGGTAGGCATTGAAGAGGAACATCCATAAAACACTGCTCCATCTCCACCCACTGTTTATGGCCTTTGTCTCTACACCAGGTGAGGATTCTGGCAAGATGTACCGCAGAAAAATAACGAACAATGACAAGTAGGTATGAGAGATATGTGGATGAGATTTCGCCTAAATGAGACGTAGAAAGGCACCATGCACCTGCTTAAAAAATGATAAGGGTATCACTATTGGAAGTGTCTGGAAGAGATATAGAAGTCGGGGCATGATGTTCATTTTAAGTATGGCATTCTTACCCGTCCACAAATGAGCAAAATCAGCTCAGGTCTGCTGTCATAGCACGTAGGGCAGAGGGACAATTAGCTTTGAAAATCTGATCTAGGATGTGGGTAATCTTGACCCCTAAGTATGAAATACAAGAGGAAGCCTCCTGGAATGGGAAGGAGGTGCAGAAGGTCCGAAACCTAGACTTGGGTATGGAAATGTTCAGACGTTCTGATTTATGGTTGTTTATTTTGAAATTCAAGAGGGATCCATAGCGGCTCAGCTCCTCCAGAAGATTTGGGAGGATGACATCTGGGGTTGCTACAAAAAAACATAAGATCGACGGCGAAGGCCGCCACCTTATGTTTAGTCAGGCCCATTGGTATTCCCCTAACATTCTGATTCAGTTGGATATGTCTCAAAAGAGGTTCTAAAGTCAAAATGGATATCAGGTGTGATAGGGGGAACACCTGCCAGGTCCCATTCGACAAAGAAAAATATACAGAGGTGGCCTCGTTGGTTCTAACTGCTGCTAACAGGTGAGAATAGATGGCTTCAATCCAAGTAAGGAATCCCTGTCCCACTCCCACATGTCTAAGTGTCTCCTTCAGGAAAAGCCAGTCCACCCTGTCAAATGCTTTCTCTGCACTGGTGGAAAGCAGACACATAAAGAGTTTACGGGAATTGGCCCAGTGAATGACATTCAGGACTCTGGTGGTATTGTCTTTGGCTTACTTATAGGGCATAAAACCCACCTGGTCAGGATTAACTATTTCCTGAAGGAGAGGCCACAATCGAAGTGAGAGGATTTTCGTAAAGATTTTTAGGTCGGTGTTCAAAAGTGAGATGGGCCTATAATTTTTACACTGGGAGGAATTCCTATAATCCTTCGGGATGACAGTTATATGGGTCCGCAAAAAGTTCAGGTAAGATGGCCCTCAGGGATTGAATTGAAGGCAGACACAAATCTAGGTGCCAAGATAGGAGCAAACGCTTTATGGTATGCCCCCGTGAGACCATCTGGCCCCGGGGCTTTGTGAGGCTTAAGGAGCTTAACTGTGCGTAAAAATTCCTCTGTCGATACTGGGGCACTAAGACTTTCTGCCTCTTCCGGATGGATTGAGGGTAAGCCCGAGTCAATCAAATACTCTCCAATTTGTCGCTTTTTGGTGAAAATTTGAGCTGGCGTCAGGGGAGCATTCAGATTATAGAGTATCGAGTAATAGGAGCGGAAGACCTGTGCAATCTCCTGCGATGTATAACTTCACTGTCCCTGCCCCTTGTCAATAAAAAGGTATATAACTTCTAAGGCAGAGTTCCTGAAGGTAATGTGCTAATAGTCTGCCAGGCTTATTGCCATGTTCTTAAAACAACTGACGGAGTCTCTGTGATTTGTTCTTAGTGTTGTGAAGAAGCATTTCCGCCAATTTACTTGACCACGTAAATCAGCCAGCTGCTACTGCCTGAGAAAAGGATTTTTTATGGGTTCGCTCCAAAGTAGCCACCACATTTTTTAATTCTGACGCTTTTTGAATAAGACGCATGACACATTTGTGCAATTACCACTGTATAGCGGGAGAGACCTCTGGGGTGTCATTATCTAAAAAGATTTGTGTCAGGGATTGCGTAAGTTCACTTAAAAGAGGGCCCTCCTGCACCAATGACTCATTAAGCTTCCACGACCATACTTTAGAGTGCATCAAACCCATCCGCAAATCTAGAGCAAATCTAGAGTAACCGTTGCATGATCCGATACAGTTTGGGTGGCTATCAATGCATGGAGTGCTTCTGGAAGCAAGGAGTGGGAGAGAAAAAGATGATCTATCCTGGAATAACTGTCATGTGGGGAGGAGTAGAAGAGTAATCTCGGTCATTAGAATGTAAAACCCACCACACATCCACCAGTCGAAGGGATGCCAAAGCTTTCTTGATTCGTCTAAGACATGGGTAGGACAGATGCAAAGAAGACTGCAACGTATCGAGAAGGGGGTCAAGAGCCAAG